CGCATATGACGGATCAATAATATGAGAATAACAACCAATGCTGCCAAGCCAAATGCAGAGCCAACAACTATGGCGGTTATCGTAGCGACCCGCTTCCATCGAGATGTTTTAGTTTTGACCACACCATGTTCCATCCAGAAGTCTCCCGACGTTATTGGGTCTGGATTAGGTCCAGCGAGATTGTCATTGAGATCACTCATCTTCAGAATCTCTATACCATTTAGTATAGCGTCGAGATAACTTGGATAAGTGTCAACGAAAGGACTCAAGTCAAGTCGTAGAACACTTTCGGAACCAACATAAACACTGAAGTCTAGATACATTGGAATCCGAGAACCACCGGCCAACTGAACCACATCCATCTTACGCTTGGCCACTTGATTTGTAATGAAGATGGAGAAGACTCTTTGGCCCGGTTTGGTCACTTCCTGTAGAATCTCACAGAAATGAAGCCTAACGAGGTAGTTACACCTGGCATCGACTGGGAAGAGCCATGCGAGGCTGAAATTCAAGTTGAGTGTAGGGTTCTTGGCGTTCCCCATCACACGACACGTGGCGTACACATCTTCCGGCGCAACGTACGCCGGAGTTTTCTCGGTGTAGTTGATCTTTACATCTGGTACGTTCGGCACGGTTCCCGATTCTCCCAGCATGAACTCATCATCGGTAATCCATTTCCGGAACATTCCGGTATCGCCGGTGGTTAGTCCGGCAACGTTCAACCGGTAAGCGGTCTCCAAAGCCGTTGAATTGCTTATCTCGAAATCAAGAGTACTACCGGCGTTCGTTATCACATTGTCAAACCCTCCCTTTGAGTAAAACCGATCGGGCATGGAGACAATCTCGATTCCGTTCACGAAAGCTAACGACTTTGGAGACGGCGTGAACGTTAGTTCTAACGTCGTCTTGTTAACCGGAACGATAAACTCTTTCACTACGGTAAAATCTTTGGAAGCTTTTACCGTTAAATCGGCGCTGAAGTTATTTAAGAGAGCGAAACGGCGGTTGACGGTGACGGAGAAAAAGGAATTAACGGCGCGGAAATTGGATCCGTATCGGGTCGGGTAAAAGTATAACCGGAGAAATTTCGGGCCGGGAGAAACCTGGAAACGGTAAGTGAAATCAGATCGGAAAATCCGAGCTTTCATGTATGGAACCGAAGGAACACTTGATCCTAGGAAATTCGCATAAGAAGAGAATGATGCGTTGACTGCATTCGACGGCAATGATTTAAGATTCTCCGCCGTCCAATTCCGGCCAGTGTCATCGGTATAATTGGAGGTATCGCCGCAGTTGAAGAAAAAGACATCGGTGGGTTTGTACGCGGTCTCCGTCGTTTCTGCTTCTGTTCCGGCGACAGCGACGGAAACGAGAGTGGAGAAGATTAAGAAAGCGTGTCGGATCATCGGAAATTGAGAGAATTATTGAAAGATCAAGAATGATGGAGAATAGACTCAAGTAAAGTGAGTCCACTGGTCAACCAAAGGCTTTTCCTTGAAATTTCTTCGTCAATGTCGTCAACAATTTCATTCAACTTGCTTAATAGTACTACAGTATTGTGAAAATGATGTGATTAAAGACACAATTAAAGTTAATTAATTTTCAAGAACACAAAATGTGAAGAGTTTTGATTTGTTTATCAGATGATTTTGTCTCAATCAAGATAAACCCTACTCAATAAATATTTCAAGATTTTACCTCTCTTTTTTGAAGAATACATCTTTCTAGCTAAACAAGTCGATGTTCTATGGAGAAACGTATTTTCAGGCCGAGTGAAATCTTTTTTTTTTTTTTAAATCATTATGGGCTTCAAATACATTTATAAAGGCCCATAATGTGATCTCGTCGTTTACATTTGTAAGCATGTCAACCAGTGTGAAAGTCCGAAGCCCAGTATGCCCAGCCCTTAAAAATTTCGGATTCAATCTATTCGAGCTATTGAATTTTTGGGCTTTAGTCCGATAGGGTTCGGGCCAACCCCAAAAACTCGAAAATAAATATATAATTTATAAATTTAATAATAAACTTTGTTTAAAGATATTTTTTAAAGATAAATTGGTTAAAATAATATATATATATATATATGTAATTCGTTGGCCAAAAACTCTTATTCTACTACTTGGACTTTAGTATTTTATTTATTTTTTATTTGACAGTACTATTTATTTATAGTTATTTGAATTTATTTGACGTTTGCATTCATTTGGCCACACTTTTTCTTTTAATTAAATTTGATTTCGATAAAAACATATCGGTAGTT